CAGAGAGTGTTGGTACTAAAAGCAATCTGAAATGTCAGATAGCATTTCTGATTGTAAAAATCAAAAGCTTTTTAAAATATCTTCAAGGTGACCTATTTTTCCTTTTTATGGTTTGGATTTTTCATACTTGTACTTAATTAAGGATGTTGAGAATTAAATTCAAAGCTTTTCATAAATAAAATATCATCTTAGGGGTAATGGGCTTGTTTTGTTTAAAACCTGTCTCAAGATGGCTCACATGAAAGAATAGGAAAAATCACAGGATTTTTAACTTCCTAGGTAAATACAATCGACCTTAATGCTGCAAATACCATCCTGGCATCTGGAACCAAAGAGGGCACCATTAGTGTTTGGGATGTTACTACAGCAACAGTGTTGCACCAGTTGCCATGTCACTCTGGGACTGTATTTCATGCTGCTTTTAGTCCTGGTAGGTTGGATTTCAGTTTTTAATATGCACTGTTGGGAGGTCAAAAGGAATCTTACTCTTGATGCCATGTAATATATCTTTCTTACTGGAATTAGTGCTTTAAGGAGGATAGTGAGATGTTTTGGATTGTCACACATCTTCACTGTAAAGAATTTAATTGTGCAAAAAGCTATGCTAGACTATAGACCTGTGGTCTAGACTCTAAACCAATCTTGTTCATCTTTGCTTGGAGACTTAATTTCCAGTAAATTATTTATAGATAAGTAGGTCAGGCAATGTCACATCCAACGTGCTGATCACAGAGTGCTTTGGTAACTAGAACTGAATGTCTGAACATGATTTTTTTGTTGTTTCTTTTGTTCACTTCCTTCTTTCATACAGACAGCAGACATCTACTGAGCACAGGGGAGGACTGTTGTTTTAAAGTAATAGATGTACAAACTGGAATGCTCATATCTTCTGTGACCACTGAAGAGCCACAGAGGTAATGCTGAGAACATGCAGGTTATGAGCTGGGTGGAGATGGCTGGAGACACCAAGGTGGGAAGGGCAGTGCTACTGGGAACTTTGTTC